GTTCTATCAAAGCTCAGGGAACTAAGATCCCACACGCTGTGGGATAACCAGGCCTCGTGCCACAGCTAGAGAGTCCGGGTGCTGCAATGCAATATTCCACATGAACGAGTATCCCAAGTGCCACAGCTAAGACCCGGCATATCCAAATAGAAAAAGTAACTAAAGCCTCCTGCAAATGACATGGGAAGTAGACTCTCCATTAACTCCCTCTCCAGTCAAGTTCTGAAAAGAAAGTTCTGAAAAGACCGCTTCTGGAAGCACCCTCCTAAGTTACCCACAGACAGATTTCTGACTCAGAAAACTGATGAGAGAATAAATGTTTGTTGTTCAAAGCTACTAAATCTGAGTAATCTGAAAAGCACCAACAATAGAGCTCATCAAGAATAATAATTCAACAAGCTTAAAAGTGAAAGTGAAGTCGTGTCTGGCTCTTTGCGAACTTGTGGACTAGGCTCCTCTGTGGACCAGGCTCCTCTGTACATGGGATTCTCCAGGCAAGAGTACTGGAGTGGGTTGCCATTTCCTTCTCAGATGGCTCTTTACAAAACATAAACCAGGTAGATAACGTGTGTGTGTGCACGCGCATGCTCAGTCCATTCAGTTGTGTCCCACTCTTTGAGACCCCATGGACTGTAGCCCACCAGGCTCCTCTGGCCATGTGATTCTGCAGGCAAGAATACGGAGTGGGAATTTCCCTGGTGGACCAGTGGCTAAGACTCTTGTGCTCCCAAAGGGTTTGATATCTGATTAGAGAACTAAGACTTGGTACGGCCAAATAAACACATAAAGAGTTAAAAAAAAAAAAAAAGAATACTGGATCGGGTTACCATGCTCTCCACCAGGGGATCTTCCCGACTCATGGATCAAACCCAGGTCTCCTGCAACTCCTGCATTGCAGGTAGATTCTTTACCACTGAAACACGAGGGAAGTCATGGGGATTTTAACATATCCCAAGTTAAAATACTTCAACGATTTCATATTCATGGACTAAAACTCACGATGGCCTAATAAAACCACTTAGGCTCTTGCTTCTGCCAATGTTTTACATTCACTTGTTTCCATTAGAGAATGTAAACTCCTTTACTTCACTAGATTTCTGATTATTAAAGAACGTACTCTCTTCCTCGACCTTTGTACTTGCTTTTTTCTCAGCCTAGGAAGTTCTTCCTTGTGCCCTTAGGGGTATTCTTTGCATCCAAGGCACCTTCTTGTCACTCAGTTCTCAGCTTAAAAGTTCTCTCCCAAAGAAGCCTTCCCTGATGACCCTTAAGGAGAAAACTCTGGAAGGTCTTTACTAAAGAGAGGAAAAAGATAAGTAGACCATGTTTAAAGAAATTTATAAATTTGGAATTACTTTATTAGAATAACTGTATTAAATGAAAAAAAGAATTTACTAGTTTAAATTTTAAAGGGGAATATAAATTTGTCATGATATATGATTGTATACCTGAGATACACAAGAAAAATAAATTGAAAAACAGGAAGCATGTAAACTATGGGAGAAAAACAATACAGAAGGACAAAGAAAGGCATCAACAGAAAAGGATAGCATGTAGGATAAGAAAACTAAACATCAAAAATGTAAATTCTTCAAATTCTCTCTCCAATGATTTCAATCAAAATATCAAAAGAAATGTATTCTTACAAAGACACTGGTGATTATAAATTCATATGGAAAAATAAACAGAGCAAGAAGAGTCAGGAAATTGCTGAAGGATTAGCTCTATCAGATATGAAATACATTTTTAAAACCAAATAATCAGAGTAAGTTGATTATGATGCAGGAGAAACATAACAATGTGGTAGAATACAAAATCTAAATATGAACAAATATATCAACAGGAAGAAGATGAATAATTATTTAGGTAAGTAGTGTTGTTTAACTGGGTAGTCAGTTGAAAAAATATAAGTTGTGACTAACATTTTATATACAAGAGGAATAAAATAGGTAAGTATAAAAATGAAATTTAAAAAAATGAAACCATTCAATTATAAAAAGAAAATTTGAAAAATATTTATAAGCTAGAAGTTGTCAAGATTTTTCTAATTAAGATACACTAAAGCCATAAAAGCAAAGTTTTTCAAAGTTAAATTTTCATCTCATTTAAAAAATCAAATGTTAAAAACATATGACAAAGAGGGACTTCCTTGGCTGTTCAGTGGTTAAGACTGCTTCCACTGAAAGGGGTGTGAGTTTCATTGCTCGTCAGAGAACTAAGATCTCCAAAATTAAAAAACAACAAAAAAAGCAAACAGAAAACATATTTGCAACTTATCACTAATGGTTATTTTTCTAAAGGACCTTCTATAAAAATCAATAGAAGCCAAACAACCCAATAGAAAAAAATAGACAATGTGTATTATTTCTTACTTTAAAATGTTTTTAAACAATTTCTTCAAGAGTGAATAAAATATAAAATAAAGATCACTAAACAGTGTTTTGGTTTATCTTCACCAAAACTCTTACATGTGGTGATTGACTTGTTTGGGTTTATGTTGTGGAAATTCAGAAACCATGTAATGTTCACAGCTGAGCTGACAGGAGTGTACATAGCAGGACAAGAAGTTGATCCTTGGGAAACAGTACTTCACAAGCACGGACACCACCCTGCTCCAAGTGTCACCTCAAACACTAACACTAAGGAAACTAGGGAAAATTCTACACTTCTAGGGAAGCATACACTTCTAGGGAGCATTTCAGGAAATTTTAGTTCTTGAGAAGCAAGATGACTCTAGGAAACATTCACATTACTACAGAGTAAGCGAACTTTACTCCAAAATGTGTTTGTGATAGTTGATATGACTCAGGACCAGTTTCTTCCCATTTACACAATGAAATGACTGATAAACTTTAATTCACACTGGTATCCCCAGTATCTAGCCCAGAGCCTGCCAATGAAAAGTTCTCAATAAACACAAGTTCCTTCACTTACCTTTCTCATCCTAAAATTCTATTTATCTTCCAAATTCACCCACACTGAACAAATTAAAGGCAGGTATCTTATTTGGGACTCACTTTTATTGCATAAAACAGAAAATTTCCTAATAGGTTTTAAAGAAGTGAAAAAAAAATTCTCTTATATTAGAGAAATCCAGGTTTAAGAAGCCTGAGAATGGGACTTCCCTGGTGGCCCAGAGGTCGATTCCAAGCTCCCTAAACAGGGGGCCCAGGTTCAATCCCTGATAAAGAAACTAGATCGCACAACAGTTCTACTGGTATCAGAGATGCAGGCTCCCGTCTTCTCCCCATCCTAACACATATCTTCTATTATCAAGTCAATTCATAGTTTCACATGATTTATGTATCTCCAACTATTGAACCCATGTCCTATAGACGCTGAGGGCAAGGAGACAGATACAAAAGAGTACGTTCTGTGTGGTTCTAATTATATAGAAATTATCTAAAAGATCTTTATAGACATGGAGGTTAAAACAGTGGTTATTATACATGGAGTTACCGATGGAGAAAAGGCAAAGGGAGACGTCAGGGGTGCTACAAAGATTTACATCACTGTCTGGGGTAGTGTTATATGTATGGAGAATTACTTGATATTTTGACAAGACTATGCGCTCCAGATAGACTGAAGAAACTGAAAGCATTCTAACACATTTAGTGTTCATGACCATCACTGCTGTCACCTTCCAGAGGTTGGTTGAAAAATAACCAAGATAGGGATTTCCCTGGCAGTGCAGTGGTTAGGATTCTCTGTGCTCCCTCCCACTGGAGGGAGCACAGGTTCAATCCTTGGTCAGGGAACTAAGATCCCACATGCCAGATCAAAACCAAAACCAAAACAAACAAAGACATACAGTTTGCTAGAATAGATGAAGGTGCGCCAATCATCTTGCTTCAGGAATAGCCAGGTTCAAACTCTCTCTTTTTTTTTTTTTTTAAATGTTTTTTGTTCTTCTGAAATGGGCATAAAAATAATGACTTTTCGTTTTTCAAAATCTTAAGAGTCCCTCTGTGGGGATTAATGAGGCAATGTATGTCAAGTACTTAACATGGTGCCTGATATTTAATGAAAGGTAGTGGTTACTGTTATTATTTACTATCATCATGATAGCCATCATTATAAACAAATGATAGGACAGGATCTCAAATGATCCTTTAGTGCAAATTTCCAAAGAAACTGGTCAACATACTTGTGAATGTGAATATCCTCCTGAAAATAATGACACTGTTTCTCTGCTGAGAACTTCCAAAAGAAGCTAAATCCAGTTCTTACCTCTGATAGCACCACAATTTTAGAAAACTCAAGAGTAGTTATACAAATAATTTGGGGAATATGTTGTAAAATTTTTGATTTTGCCTTTAATATCACATGACCTTCATTATGGTGGGCCCATGAAACAAATGGGCTCTCCCAGTAGCTCAGCTGGTAAAGAATCTGGCTGCAGTGCAGGAGACCCTGGTTCGATTCCTGGGTTGGGAAGATCCCCTGGAGAAGGGAGAGGCTACCCACTCCAGTATTCATGGGCTTCCCTGGTGGCTCAGATGGTAAAGAATCCACCTGCAATGTGGGAGACCTGGGTTCAGTCCCTGGGTTGGGAAGATCCCCTGGAAAAGGGAATGGCAACCCATTCCAGAATTCTTGCCTGGAGATGTCCATGGACAGAGAAGTCTGGCAGGCTACAGTCCATGGGGTTGCAATGAGTCAGATAACTGAGCAAGTAAAACACACACATATGTATTTATTTACTATTTATTTTTGCTGTCTAAATTATAAGCACACTCTACATTCTCTAAAAAGTAACAACAATAACAAAAAAAAAACTGGTAAGAATGATGACTCTAGATCACTACATACAGACTAGGAATACCATACCCTTTTGTTCATTAACATAAAAAGCCCAGGCTAAGACAGCTTCCTTCTTTCCCTGGGAATAAGGGAGGTGGGTATTTTCCTAGTCCATGTTTTCATGGAAAAAATTAACTGACTTAGTTTTTATGTAGAATAAATCCATTTTGGAAAGTGTATAAGTACAAAATACTTACCCACTTAGCAACTGGACACCCATTAGAGCTTTTTCCTTCTTTCCCTGTGTACACTACTATTTCTATCCTTATTGCATTTCCTTTTTGACCATACCTAAGTATGAAACACAGTGAAGGGAAAATCATTGAAATAAACTTTCAACATCTTTATGGGCATAAGATAAAGATTTACAGAAGCACAAAAATCAAACAGCCCTCATAATAATGACTTTGTTAAAAGGTTACTTGTGTGTGGCAGGTATTTGTGTTGTCCAGTTCTATTTACTTGTCCTTAAGAACCACTCTTTTTAAAAAAAAATGGCCTGGCTCCAAGACAAGCAAAACCAATGTGAATGTAGTGTTGACAAAGATAATTTTAACTATTTCTGTGATTATACAATAATATAAAAATAAGTATGTCTGCATTTAACAAAGACAGCCTTGCTCCGTGAGGGTCTTTATTGAGTTTCCAATGGCTCGTGTGATGAATGACTCAGCAGGGACACCAGGACACTGGGCTTTCCCTGGGCCCTGAGAAACATCCAACTCATATTCCTGAAGGTTTTCCATTCACCTCCTGTTTGTTCCCAGAGATCATATCTCTGCATTGAGTTAGGTCCCCAATAATGAATGATTTTAACAGGGAAGCATATTTCCTCACCTATTCTCCATGATTTCCCTGACAGCAGCAACACTTGGTCCTGCCCCAAGGTGTGTATAATATGGGCCTTTGTCTTTTTGTATAACTCGATCTGTGGAAGGAACAAGATTATTAGACCCAAAGCTTTACAGAATTGCATAGGGGCGCGGAAGAGCTATTTTTACTTTTTTTTTTTTTTTAATTAGAACAATGAATCTTGACAAGATTTTGGTAAGCTTTAGTAATTAAAAACTAGGACAATGGGACCTGGAGTGTAACTTTATCCCTTTTTTCTGCTCCTAATTATTCCATTCTTTCTCTAAGAATCAGAGGAGGAAAATCATATTTTAAGTTGTGGTTAACCATTTATTCTCAGATCTTCTGCTTTTAGAAAAGATCTATAAAAACTGAGGTACGAAATTAAGTCATCCTGGAGCAATACATCTTAAAAGCTTTGCCTCAGAATCCTGTTAAAATTGAGCCCCCCCCCAAATTGATCCCAACAATTGCACTGCTAATTTATTTTACTATACACATGCCTAATTATTTATAATGCGTGTGTACATAACAATCTTCATTGTTGGGGTACTCTTTTGCCCCCTTCTGATGCCTATGTCAGAAGCTTTCTCTATCTCCTTTATACTTTAATAAAACTTTATTACACACACACACACACACACACAAATCTTCATTGTTACAATAATATGTAATATCAAAAGAGAGAAACACTGAATCTTTCAATTAAGTAATAGTTTAAATTTGGGGTTATTTATACAGTGGAATATGATACAGCTATTAAAACAATAGCATTTACAGACATTGAAAAATCCAAGTTAAAAAGCAAGCTGCAAAAGTAGTATGTTTTAAAGCCTTAAATTTTGTAAAACTTGTAAAATTTTTTTACAAAAAAATTTTGTAAAAATTAAAATCACTAACAATATTAATTCAATAGAAAAACTGTAACAGTCATTTTCCTCTAGAGAAAGATAATTGCACCATATTTCTGTACCATTTGAGTTTTTGTGAGTATGAATTAAGTACTTCTTAGAAAATGTTATTTTCAATTTGACCTCTGAGAATCATGTCTAACTAGAATCAATGGTGAATGCATGTCTATCTACACCGAAGGGTATTACTTACCATTTTAATTGGATATCCAATACAACATAGGATTATTTTTGTGGCTACTTAAGCAAGACAGCAGTGAATAATTTTTAATTTATTGGTGATCTAGAGCAGGACACCAAGTGTCTCAGTGGTAAAGAATCTGCCTGCCTATACAGGAGACATGGGTTCGATGCCTGGATCGGAAAGATCCCCTGGATAAGTAAGCAGCAACCCACTCCAGTATTCTTGCCTGGGAAACCCCATGGACAGAGGAGCCTGATAGGCCATAGTCCATGGGGTTACAAAAGAATTGGACATGACTTAGCGACTAAACAACACAACAGTCTAGAGCAACGGTTCTTAATCAGAGATGGTTTTGCCAAAGGGGATATTTAGCAATATTTTGGGTTATGACAACTGTATGCATGTATGTGTGTGTGTTATTGCTAGCTAGTGAGAAGAGGCCAGGGATGCCACTAAACAGCCTACAACAGATAAAGCAACAGATAACAAATACACAGATAGCAAAGAATTACCCCACCTACAATGCTAAAATGAGGAACACTAACTACTCTAGTTTTGCTAGGATGTAACACTTTCTTAGAAATCCTTTACCCTTGGAAATAATTGGGATACTTTACCCGCAATTGGGATGATTTCTGAGTCTGCTCTTTTGTTTTCCTTTTTAAATTCCCATCTCTACACAAGGAACGCAATAATCTCAAATGGAACAATTATAAGAAAATATGTAACTGACAGTGTATTATTACACAGTTCCAGGTCCACGCAGATACTGAATAAACTTTGAAAGCCTGGCTGTCTCAGTTCTTACAATGTTACAAGATAGTATGTAAAAGGAGTTTTCAAACTAGCTGATTGTCTTATCGAAACTATGTATAGGGTTAAATTAGACTATCTCAGGTCTATACAAATTTATGGCATTTTAAAGACTTCTTTTCCGTGTTTAATGACTTATTTAAAAGAAAAAAAGGTCTCTTTTTCAGATTTCTGATGCAACAGAGGATGGAAGTTACAAATAGAGCCTCTGGAGTTGGGACCGCCTGTCTTTGAATTCCAGTTTAATCATTTACTAGCTATGAACTTCTCTGATTCAGTCTCTTCACTTGTAAAATGGGGATAATGAGCCTTCCCTTTGGTGGGTTTTTGTAATATAACAAGCCAAGGATGCAGCAGTTATGAGACTTGCAGGAAAAGATCTAGAATTGGAGCCATTATCATTACTACACTCTTCTGTCTTTGGTCTGAGAATCTCTCTTTCCCAATTCAACCCCACTCAGACAGCACTGTCACCCCTCCAGACTGTCAGACCCTTCTAAAAGGCTCTTCATTCTGAGAGGAGCCTATCTTTGGTGCCTAGCATGAGGCAGGCTGTCAAAACAGTGCTGAATGATGGGCAGAAAAATGGAAGGATTCATTTCAGAATATTAAATGCACTTTGAATAATCAAGAACTGAAAGTAACTGCTATACTTCACTATTTTTTCTATTGTGGTTAAAAAAGTATATCAGAATGATATACTTACTCCATCCTTCCAATCAATCCTTTAACTACCCATTCTGGAATGTACTAATGAATCATTTTCTTCTTGATTGGGTTAACAATTACACAAATACTTTTCTTATGGTTATTTAAGTTATACATATATTTTATGTTCTCTGCATACATGTTTTAAAATGTACAATTTAAAAATACATGTTTTTAAACAAAAGGCCTAAGGGTTGAAATTTTTCTGAATATAGGAAGAATAAACTGTGAGAAAGTATTAAGGGAATTCATTCTTATGATGTGCACAATAAACAACTTGAGAGACATCTAGCTTGAGCGAAATCAAATTTTCCACTTAAGAAAGTTTCTGAATTACCAGTTGCATTTCCCATTCATCTGAGCCGCATCAATAAAGGTCCCACAGAAAAATGGGTATAGAATTACTTAGTCCATCCTAGCTAGAATATGAATGGGGCCAAAATGTCACATATAAAAACCTAAATCAAACTTTATTTGATCATGACTTGAGGCAATTAAGGGAAGAAAAAAATGAAACACACATGTGTGCACTTACCAAGACAGTCGCAAGTAGGCAATTCAGAATCTTTCGTTGTGGACACCAGGGTTTTCGTAGGATTGGTAAAGAAGTTCATCGCATAATCATTAAAACTTTTCTGTGCACTGTTTATTGGGGAACATTCTGATGTTCCAACACTAGATGAACAGACGTCCTCTTCACTTTTGGTAGAAACCACTGTAATTCCACCTGAACATACTACATTTAGGTTCCTGAGAATTTGTGCTGGGTCTGGTAAAGGGGTCTCATGAGAGATACCAGGAAATGTTGGCAGTCTCTGATGCATGAGTTGGTCTTTAACATCCTCTTGGAACTGTCTTTGGTCACCGCCATCCAGGACATTAGCACACTGGTTGGTTGGAGAGGCTGGCTGGAGTAAAGGATGAGCTTTCTGATTGACATTCACTGTTGGCTGTACCTGAGTATATGCATTTTCTGTAAACGCCTGCCCATTGGATTCTGTTTTTAACTGGATTATGGGGATAGAATCCAAGGGTTCAACCTTCATCTTTTCCTGTGCTAATTCAGGATAATATCTCTCAAATTTTATCTGAGTGAGTGGAGGAAATAATTTTTTGTGTTCTAATGCTGAACTTGTTTGAGTCAGTGGTTTCCATACTTTAGTTAGGGGAGGAATTTTTCCCAATAGAATGGGAAAATCATGTGGACCAAATTGACCAAATCTTTGAAATTTAGATGCTATCCAAATGTCATGTAATTTACTATACTCATATGACAACTGTTCCTGCTTTTTCTGGTCATTTTCTTGACAACTTATGACCATGTGCTTTTTTTTCCGTCTATCTCTTGATGGAGTAGATTTTGTCTTTTTCTGGATTGTGTTCTTTTGCTTTGTTACTGATGAGCCTTGATTATTGTGTACACTGGAAGGTGGTTTCTGTGGTGTTGTGCCCATCTCCTGGTTATACTTTTGCTGGACATTATATGCAACAAGGCTTGTTGGTGTACTTTCAACTTTTTTGTCCTCTGGTTTCACATAATTGAATTTAATCATTGATGCAAGTTGTGTTAACTGTGCGGCAACATCTTCTTCTATCTTACTATGAACTGAATCTTGACATGATGAATTATCCTTTGAATCCAACTTGATGCTGTTGTCCAGTGACTGGTTACAATACTCTGATTTGCTAGTTATTGTGGTCAACTGCTGCAAATTCCTAGAACTGTCGAGAGTAATCCTACCTTGAGCAATATTTTTATTGGTATCAGTTTTAGATGAATTTGAATTTGGTATAAAAAGTGATATTGAATTTGTGATCGTTGAATTTTCCTGTGCCTTTGTGGATGCTTGGTGACTAGGTGAGCTGTTGTGTGACTTAGAAATGGTATTTTGGCCATTGAACACTACAGTGTTGCATGAGCTTTGCTTTTCCAAAGACGGATAGTGATGAAGGCTCTGTGGCTCCCCTTTTAAGTTTGGGTCTTGGAGGTCTTTTCTCACAGAATACAGAATAGCTTTACAGCTGTTAAGCAAACTAGCTGTTCTCTGTTCTGTTTCTTCATCCTTCTCTGACTTTGATGGAGAGGAATTTTCTGATGGGGCTTCTGAAAGTTGTGTGAGAGCTTCTATGGCCACTACTTGTTCTAGTGTTAATCTCCTATCTTTCATTAGGGATAGGAGACTTGGTTGAAGTGTTGACCCTTCTTTTAGTTCTCTATTTGTGATAATTTCTAGGGATTTTGGTTGATCACTTTCATTGTGTATACTAGTATGACTATTTAAGTTGCAGTTCACAGGATCTGGGAAAGATTTACAATTAAAGCCAGGCTTCTGAATAACCAAAACATTACTCTTCCCCTTGAGATGATCACAGCTCGCACTAGTAGCAATGGCGCTCATGACATTGTTATGATTTGCGGTGTCTTTCAGGAATTTATAAGGATTGTTTTCAAATGCCTTGCCAAGTTCTTCAATGTTGATTTTTTTAAAAGACAAATTTGTTTCAGTTGGTAAATAGTGTACATTTTTAATGCCATTTCTTACAGTTTGTGCAAACAATTTTTGAGGTTCAAGGAGGTCAGTAAGTAGAATTTTTTTCCTGTCATCTTCAGAGTTTTTCAAATTTTCAACTTCTGTTTTAATTGTACTAAATTCTCCTTTGACATGATCAGTTAAGTGTGATTTCTTGTTTTGTGTCCAATTCTCCACTTCAATACCTGTCATACTTTCTTCATTTTTAGTTACATTTTCTAAGGGACATGAATTTAATTCCAATCTCTGTTCTTCCTCATGACCACAACTACTGTATTCCATGGATTCTGACTTGGGGCCATTTACCAGTTTGTTGTCAAAATCTGCCTATAAAATAAACACAGAAATTACTCATATAATCTACTCCAATATCTAAGGAGAGTCATAAGAACTTTACAATTTATTTATTTATTTATTTCCATTTATTTTTATTAGTTGGAGGCTAATTACTTTACAATATTGTAGTGGTTTTTGCCATACATTGACATGAATCAGCCATGGATTTACATGTGTTCCCCATCCCGATCCCCCCTCCTGCCTCCCTCTCCATCCCATCCCTCTGGGTCTTCCTAGTGCACCAGCCCCGAGCACTTGTCTCATGCATCCAACCTGGGCTGGTGATCTGTTTCACCCTTGATAGTATACTTGTTTCAATGTTAAATTCTACTTTACAATTTAAAAGCAACTAAATGTGAAGTCCCTGAAAACATTTTATTTTCACTTTTTATATTTTCCAATAAGTTATAAAAAATCAATAAGGGGAAAAGAAAAAAGAGAGGTAGAAACCATCATAATCCCATGCCTATTAATATTTTGGTATATTCATTTTTCCCAAAATTTTTTTACAATTAAAAAAAATTGTAAAATATTTTCACAATTGGTGTCATTCAATGAGCAATACCTACTATTTCAATGCAAGCTGTAATGAGACACACACATACAAAAAAAATCATACCTCATCATAGGTAAATCTATGGCTGATTCATGTTGATGTTTGGTAGAAACAAACAATACTGTAAAGCAATTATCCTTCAATTAAAATAAAAAATTAAAAAATATATAAATCATAAATACTTATACAGCTTGCTAGATTTTCACAAAACTGCTATGTACCCAAATCCCACCAAGAAATTTACATCTAATAAACAAGGTCCTACGTTACTGCACATAGGATATTTAATATCCTATGATAAACCATAATGGAAAAGAATATAAAAAAGAATTTATATACATATAACAAACACTTTGCTGTACAACAGTAACACTGCAAATCAGCTATATTTTGATTAAAAATTTAAAAATTAATTTTAAAAAACTTATCATCATCACTCCAAAACCAAAGGGTAACCACTGATTTGACATCTTAGATTTCTTTTGCTTATTTCCATACTTTATACAACTGACTTTCTTTTACTCAAAATTATATTTGTGGTAGTCATCCATGTTGAAAAGTGTAATTGTAATCCATTGATTCCTCCTGCTATACAGTAATTCATTGATTGACTATACAATTTATTTTTCTGGTCTATTGTAGATGGACATTCGTTTTTAGTTTTTGGCTACAACAAAGTACACTACAACATATTACTGTTATCTTTTGGTGAACTTATATATACATGGGGTGGAGGGAAGTGCTGGATCATTCCGTGTGTGTATTAATATATGTGCATGCACCTTCAGCTTTAGGAAATAGGCCAAAGAATTTTCTGCAGTGGCTATCGATATATACTCCCACAAGAAGTATTAATATGTTTCCATTTTTATTAACAATTAGTTCACATTCTTATCAAAACTTAGTATTTTCTGTCTTAACACGTTAACCATTCTGGTGAGTGGGTAGTGACATCCCTTTTTAAAATTTTTTTGAGATGAACTTCCCATAAGATAAAATTCATCATTTTACCATTTAAAGTTGTATAATTCTGTGATTGCATTCACAATATTGCGCAACAACCACCTTTAATTCCCAAACACTGTCATTGCTTCTGAGAGAAACACTAAACTCATTAAGGGAGCAGTGTTCCCCTCTCTAATCCCTATCTTTTGTAAACCTTGAAACAAGGATTTCCCTGGTAGTCCAGTGGTTAAGACTCTGCACTCTCAATGCAACGGGGCACAGGTTTGATCCCTGGTCAGAAAACTAAGATCCTGCCTGCCGCACAGTGCTCATCCAAAGTTATACCACAGGATGACCCAAGAGGGGACATTTCTGTCAGGAGCAAATAGAAAATAATCTCTATATTTAACATGGTGCTGGATGTTTTAGTCAATGCCTGAAAGACAGTAAAATCTAAATATAAAAATATTGAATAAATGATGATATAATTGACTCTAATAGAAAAATCAAGAGTATTGACTAAAAAGAAAGATTCAGAGTTCAGAAGGGCCATATCTAATTTCCTGTCATGGTACAGGTTACATAGGCTATGTTTAACATGTCAAAATTCATTAAAAAAATGCAATATCATATATACATATTACATAGACATAACAACTTTGTAAAAATAAGATAGCCAATTTTTTAAAAAAGCAATATATAAAATTTTAATATTAAAAGGAATAATAAGTTAAGCATTCTAGGTAAATGAGCAAAGAGAATAAGTTCAATAATATTTAATATTATTGTTAAAATGCTGGCATTTGTAAGCAGCAGAGAAAATTATCAATTTCTTAATAATGACAAGAAAGAAGTTTGATCTTTTTAACATGCAACACAAATTCCAGATTTATTAATAATTTAAATAGAAGAAAATTTAGAAAGTAGGAAAAATCTTCCAAAGCAAGAGCAAAAAGTGGCAAGCCATAAAAAAGATAGAATCCTTTATTAACACTCTTAAAGGCAAAGACATTTTAATATGCTTTTTAAATTGCTGATCGCAACCTGAGTCCCAATACCAATTTCATGCTTTGTAACAAATGCTCTTTAATAGAATATTAAAGACAAATAAGTATACTATATTTAGTAAAGATAAGTATTATCATAAAAATCTTTTATGTATGATTTTGTGTCCATGTACTGAATAAGGATGTAAACTGTATTTACTTCCTGATATGCATAGCTACTTACAAAGGTAGGAGAAATATTGTCAAAATTAAAGTGAAATTTTTATTGAAAAATCTTTATATTGAAATTTTTAAAAAATCAACTGACAGACTGGAAAAATACAAGATATATAGTTACTGTTCTTAATGAAAAAAAATTTCTGAGAAATTAAAAAGGAAAATGATTCAATAGAACACTGAGGAAAGAACAGGCATAAGTAATTCACTTAGGTGGAAATCAAAAGGATCAAAATCTATCCAACTTCTTACTAGAAGAAAATGAAAATGCAATCCAAATTGCAAAAATAAAATGTAAGCAAACCATAATGCAATATATCATTTAGAGAAAGTATGAAATGAACTCTCATATATTCACACTGTGAATTAATGTGCAGTCATTACTATATGTATCAATCTAGTGATTGCATGGCAAGATATTCATAATATATCATTAACCCAAAATAATGTGTGATAACATGTAAGAAATTAAAACACCTCTTTTAATTTAAAATATACAAACAGTAGGAATTCCCAGGCAGTCCAGTGCTTAGGACTCAGCACTTTCACTGCCTTGGCCTGGGTTCAAGCCCTGGTCAGGAAACTAACATCTCACAAGCTTTGCTGGCATGGTGAAACAAAAAGTACATCCAAATAATGTATCCATCACAAAGTGGATATAGATGGAACACACCTCAACATAATAAAGGCCATTATAATAAGCCATAAGCCCACAGCTAACATCTTATTCAACAGTGAAAAGCTGAAAGCATATCCTGTAAGATCAGGAACAAGACAAGGATACTCGCTCATAGTACTTTTATTCACCATAGTATTGGTAGTCCTAGACATGGCAATCAGACACAAAGAAGAAATAAAAGATGGCTAAAAGATATCACATCAAAAGATGTTCAGCATCACTAGTCAGAGAAATGCAAATCAAAACCACGAGATATCACTTCACATCAGAATGGCTATCATCAAAAAGACCACAAATAGCACATGTTGGTGAAGACGTGGAGAAAAGGGAACTTGTATACATTGTTCGTAGGAATATAAATTGGTGCAGCCACTATGGATAACATTATTGAGGTTCCTCAACAAGGTAAAAATAGAATTACCACATGGTCCAGCAATTCTACTCCTAGGTATTTATCTAAAGAAAATGAAGGGGAGGGGGGACCGGGATGGGGAATACATGTAAATCCATGGCTAATTCATTTCAATGTATGACAAAAACCACTGCAATGATGTAAAGTAATTAGCCTCCAACTAATAAAAATAAATGAAAAAAAAAATAAAGAAAATGAAGACAGTAATTCAAAAACATACATACACCCCCAATGTTTATAGTAGAAGTATTTTTTTTTAATCAATTTAGTATTATCCTGACAGCTGGCATCATTAATCCTTTAATGGAAACCACTTAAAATTAGCCAAATATCTAAGATAATTACATGCACAAAAGATATACAAAGTATAACCATTTAAAAAGTAATAGATACCATAATTTGTACTTGACCATAACTTCTGTATTTAGAAATGACTGTAAAATTAAAATCTAAGATAAAATCTCTATACCATATACTTTGAGTGCTTTACATCTTAGAAAACAAAGGTAGTCTTTCACTGTTACACATTTAGTGTCCCTGGTGAGGTGAGGAGAGAAACACCATGAAACATAGAATTTTTGTACTTTTCTCTTATTGACTGTTGCGCATGCTGTGGTGCTCTGAGGTAGGTCTGGTGAAGGTCCATGAGACAAGGCTTTAGAATTTCCAGTGGATATCCAGGCTTTTATACTAATGATTCAGGCCAGCTTTTGTCTCACGACTGTGTTGACTGCTAAATGAAAGACCACGGCAGTGATAACCGATGGCAAATATTGTAGATATGAGTCAGCGTCTATCACACTTCACTCTCGCAAAAGCGCTGCTAAACTTTCAACTTTGCCTTTTGCAGGCTGCTGATGCAGAAAGTACTGGGTAAGAAACTGATTTACTATTTGTAGAGCTAAGTCAAAAGCAAGGACTTTCAAGACTAGGTGCTGCATTCTCAGAACTTGTTTCTTGGTATAAGTGTCATCTGTAATGTATACAAATTCTGCTACTTCTGGGGGGTCTATTTCTTCAAACTTTGAGGCTAACGGCATAGCAGCAGTGCCCACAAGTTGACGTTTTCCTCTCAACACAGACATGGATGAAAGAAACCTATCAAGGTAGTTCACAGCCAAATGCAGGGTCTCATTTTGTAGTTTATATTCTTCTCCTACCTCAACTAACCAGTTC